CTTATTCAACCATTTACTGATGGACAGTGAAATTGTTTATTGCCTTTTGTCTCTACAAAGTATTTGTTTATATTTATTCCTATTTGTTTATGCTTTTACTCTATAGAGCAGACTCCCAAAAGTGCCATTCCTATTCAATTTTTAGCAGATACATTAAATACCTTGCAAACATTTTAATAACTCACAACTCACCAGCAATAAACGAGATAGCTGACTTACATATTATTTTCACCAGCACTGATATTTTTTTCACTCAAGGGGAAAAATTATTTTTATCTCTACTTGAGATTCAGTATCTTTTTATGTCTATTGGCCTTTTTCAGTTTCTCCTTTTCTTTTGTCTGTACAATTTACAAAAGCTTTTAAACTTTACCATATGCCACAAGTATGTTTCCCCTTTATTCTGTTGGCATAGTGAATTATTTTGATATATTCCTTATTCATTGTATTTGGATTGAAATCTATTTGGCCAGATAGGCTCTTATTTGAATAACTAAAATTTCTAGTTTTACTTAGAATCTTTCTATTTCTACTAGTGAGTAATATTGATCTATGGTTCTCTTTTTAGTTATATTTATCTGATTTTGTCATTTAGCCTATCTTTGCTTCATAAATATGACTTATAGGATCTCCTCATCTTTTTTCTGTGAATAAGTAACAGGAATCACCTGTTCTTTGAGGATGGACAGGTTTCAATGATAAACATCAGCTTTTGGAGCCTTTAAAAAGGCAGGTTTTAGCCATGCTCCTAATTTCTGATACAAATAACTGTCTATTGGAGTTTCTATCACTTCCTTAGTAAACCTGGCTTTTTACATTTTTTCAGAAAATCATGTATTTCCCCAAGACTGACATAGAGTATATATCCTTTTATAATTTAAAAAATGTCTCCATAGATTTTACAGTTCCTAACGTTGCATGTTTTTATCTTCCTCTCTTGTATCCTTAGATTTTCCAGGGTCAAGTAAATTATAAGTATCAGATTTGTTTTTATGTCTTCTAAGTTGTTTTCCTTTTTAAATTAATTTAACTTTCATGATTAATTTTCCTTCCTCCTATTTTTAGGTTTATTTTTTTTCTATTTGTTAAGTTGCATGTTCAGCTTATTTTAAGTCCATTTTTTAAATAAACAGTTTTTGAGTCGTTTTCTTATAAATACAGCTTCAGCTGTGTCCCACAGGTTTTTTTGATTTAAAGAAAGTTTTCATATTCATTACTTTTAAGATAATTTTCCATTTGCATGTTCTTTATCTTCACTTCAGAGATGATTTAAGAGTTTATAAAAACTGTCTTTAAAGTGTAAGAGAAATACATGTCCATGGGAACATACTGGAACAGTATAAAAAGATGTACTCTAACAAGCAAGATAGTCTCCAACACAGACCTCCCAGTCCTCTCCAGAGAAAACTAATCTTGATCAGGTTCTGGTGTTTCTCCAGTAATATGAATACACTGTACAAATATGTTGTGAAAGGCATTCCTTAATTTCGATGTTATTTTTGTTAGAAGGCTGCCCAAGGTCATTGGTATGGTATGGTAGATGCGAGGAGCCAAAGACTCGTTCTACTCTGGTCTTGAGTCTCTAACCCTTCTAATAGTTCAAATTTGAGAAAGGGTCACAGAATGAACTCAGATAGTCTACATTTGTAGATTTCTGATGTTGGTTTTATTTTGTTTGCTGTGAAAGTCCAGAGATGAGAATTTATGACCTTATTTTTTTAATGTCTTTATTAATTTCAAGAGGGTAAGGAAGGGTAAGGAAGGAAGGGAAGGAGGGAAGGAAAGAGGGGGAGAGAGGAAGAGAAAGAAACATCAGTGATGAGAATCATTGATTGCCTATTCCTGCAAGCCCCATACTAGAAGAAATCAAGCCCACAATCTGGGCATGAGCCCTAACCAGGAATCGAACTCTGATCTCCTGGTTTAGTCAGGCATGATCTCCTTAATCTGTAGAGAATTTTAAAGGGATGGACCCCATTTTTGGTAGGGAAGGTTCCATTTGTTTAAATCCTATGATGATAATGCAATTTGGCAACCCATGAACTCTGTCTTTCTTCCCCAAACACCACAAATAAATAACCATTCTGAGTAAAATCGATGCTTACCTTGTAAAGATGGGTTCAAGGAAGATTCTCCAGCAGCTCCGCTTCGTCTCAATCACTTGCCACTCCTGAAATGGTTTCTAATGGTCTCCACCCTGTTTTTCACATTCTTGTGCAATCTCCTCCATGTGTGTTAGATGAAGCAGGTTGCCATACTGAAGCTAAAGGCAGTTTCTAGCCAATAGCTAGCAAGGAACTGCAGCCCGTATTTCAACAGCCCATGAGGCCTGAGTCCCAGCAATTATCAGAGGGAGCTAGAATGTGGGTCCCTTTGAGCTAAGCCTGGATATGATTGCAGTCTTCTGAGAGGCCCAGTGTCAGAGAATCTATTTCTTTCCTGTCCCAAAGAAACTGCTCTGAATAAATGTTTTAAGCCACTAAGTTTTAGGGTAATTTGTTACCGAGTAATAGGTAATGAGTAGGCCTGTGTTTGAAAAGTTCCTTGTAAAACCTGTGATTATTGGAGGGTTTTTTTGTTTTTGTTTTTGTTTTTTTTGCAGATAATTGGTCTGGGGAAGAATTATGTGCGTCAACCAACTCCAATCACCTGTTCTCATTGGCCCATATAAATGCAGGTTTTGAAGATAGAAAAGCGAAAAATGACAAATGTGACCAAGGAGAGAACAAAACTTAAAAATAAAACATTACCATTATATGCCTATTAGAATGGCTAAATTAAAAAGTACCAATACCAAGTCCAGAAAATGAAGATCAACTTGGCCTCTCAGACTTTGCTAGTGGGACTGTAAAATGGATAGCCATTCTAGAAAATAGTTTTGCAGTTTCTTACCAAATTGAAAACATGCTATATGACCAGCAGTCACACTCATGGGCATTTATTCAAGAAAAAGGAAAACTTCTGTTCATAAAAAAATCTATACACAAATACTCAGAGTAATTTTATAAATGATAGCCAATGTCTGGTATATTAGCTGGGTTCTTCAGAGAAATAACCAATAGGATGTGTGCCTGTGTGTGTATGTGTATGTATTCGTTGTGTTGATGGCAAAACACTGTGATGATTATATTAGCTACACATGTGATAAAATTTCCCAAAAACTACCCCCCCCCTAAAAAAAAGTAAATGTAAAAACTTGTGGATATCATATATGGTCTATGTCAATTTCCTGATTTTAATAATGTAGTATGGTTATGTAATGTTTACATGCATCGAGTTCTTTTTAATATAGGTATTGTGGCACTGTATCATAAATACAATGCTTTGCCATCTAACTCAAAAGCAAAATAATCCATACTCCACTGTGCCTTAAAAGTGTGACATCTGGTCTGCCAGTGTTGCTCAGTGATTGAGCATCAACCTATGGACCAGGAGGTCATGGTTCATAGGGCACATGCCCAGGTTGTGGGCTCAATCCCCAGTGTGGGGCATGCAGGAAGAAGCCAATCGATGATTCTCTCATCTTTGATGTTTCTATTCCTCTCTCCCTCTCCGTCCTCTCTTAAATTAATAAAAACATATTTTTAAAAAGTGTGACATCTGACATTTTTCTCTTTCTTGTTTTGACATGATGGATATACACTGGCATTAAAATAGTCACAGAACTGTGGTATTTGTGGCTCTTGAAGTGTTGTCAAGTTCTGTGTCACTGTGATCTTCAGTGTACCAAGCAGTAGTACAAGGTGATGAGTGCACTGTACATAGTCTCTGCCATGATTCACTTTCACTACTGCAGTGTGAAAGTAGCCATAAACAATGTGTAAACAAATGAGCATCAGTGTGTTCCAATAAAACTTTATTGATGGACACTAAAATATGAATTTCATATAACTTACACATGCTACAAAACATTATTTTCCTTAAAAAAACAACATTTAATAATGTAAAAATCATTTTAGCTGGTAGGCCACACAAAAACAGGTGGCAAGCCAGATTTGCCAACCGCGGCCTAACCTCATGGGATCTATTCTAAAGGTGGGGAGAAACAATAAGAAAATAAGTGAGAACGTAAAGTAGACAATTTTGTGTTATAAATTAAAGTGTAAGGGACTGTGTCTCTGAAGAAATACATAAGATGAGCCTGTATCTGAAGGATGAGAAGGAGCCAGTCATGAAAAGAGCTGAGTACAGAGTATTCTAGAAAGAGAGAATAGCAAGGGTGGAAACTGGAGGCAGGCACAAGTTTGGTGGATTAAAGGAACCAAACATGGATGGCACCATTGTTAAGAATTTAACTCTAGTTAACTCCAGTAGGATCTAGCCAAATTTTATACACTGGGTTTGTGGTCCCTTGCTAATTTACATGACCAAACAAAGAATATGATTTAAAAAGAGGGAGAGAGAAAGATAAAATATTTTTATTTTTGCCAAATAGTTCTAAGAAAATACAGATGATCCAGAATATTGAGAACAAATATAGTTGGACCACACAAGTTATTTCTCTAAATGCTCATCCTTAAGTTATGCTGCTTCATTTTATATTTGCTTACAATACAAATGTTGTGCTCACTAGATGATTTAAGGCCATTTATAGCAGTTTTATGTAAAAAGTCTAGTTTCTTTATAAATCTTAAAATATTAAACCCTCTTTTTACATCTTTTTGTTTTTATGTTCAGCCCAATGTGAGCGTGCTAAGCTTGTTCTGATTTCTTCTAACACACTGAAGGGAAAATCATTTTTAAGTTTGCATTGATTTGCGGCAATATTTGTATTCAACAATCAAATGCTACACCATTTCCTTTTAAATGGCTATGCACTTAATTAGTTTTACTCGTGTGTTCAGCAATTAATTAGTTTTGGAGACTTCTATTTTGGTATTGAACCTGAATATTGACAGTGAGAGTAGTAGATAACTGTATCAGGATTGCAATGCATGTTTTCCAATCACACCACATAAAAAGTTTTCACATTTGAAAAAAAAAAGTTCTTCATTGTAATATCATCTAATATCTTTCATAATTGTGAAATACACTTCAACCAGTTTCTTTTTTTCATTTATTTTCTCCAATATTGCTTCTAGTAAATATGAGGCAAAAGGAAGCTGTAAGAGAAACACAGGAAAAAAAATGGTTATCAAAACTCTATATTTTCTTCAGTTCAAAAATATACTAAATATCATTAAACCATTAGAACTTGGCTGTCTGCAACTGTGCACTCATATGATACTCTACTGGGTCTCTTTTCAACTGATCTTACTGGTTAGTGTGGGTAATTTTGTCTTTTACAATAAAAATGATAAAGGAGCTGAAGTAAAATGAAAAAAGATAAACGCCTTATTGAACAATTCATGGTTTACTGACCATGTTAATGATGTAATCTGCAATACAAGCAGCTAAGCCATTTATCTTCAATCAGCTGATCAATAGCAGGTTACAGTCATCTCTAGGGCCCAGAGCCCACAGAAGTGGTACTGTATGTTCATCACTCATAAAAGAATGAGAGAGAACTATCAATACACTTGTCTGTGTTAAGAGTTGAACATCTTAAGTTGTAGGGTAAAATTTCAGAGAGAAAAAATGGCAAAAGTATACCCATTGATTAAGTTGTTATAGAAAAGTTTGTCTGGCATATCAAAGTGTAATACACATGTTGCAAACTGCTGAGTTTCTGAAATGTAGAGTATATTTTTAAATTTCATAATTTGTAGAACTTTTCTAGTAAAGTTTTATTGTTCCCTCTGCTTCACTGGGTTGCCTGTAGAACTCCAACTCATACAATTTAAAACGCTCCCCAAGCACCTCCCTTATATCCCTATCCACTTCCTTTTTTTCTTCTTCCCTCTAGTCTCACATAAAAGATTTATAATAATAAGTTAATTAAGTAATTTCTTGGGAGTTGTCCTTTTGATGAAGCAGTGAAAGGTACATGTTTTCCCCCCTAAATATATTGATGAGAATGCTTGTCATGCTGGATCCCTTCCCTACAGAGTTGTAACAGGCCCTTCTTTGTGCTAGGATGACCATGGACAATATCACTGGTCAACACTGAGCAAAGATGCCCTCTGTATGAGCTGCTTAGCTGTGCTCAGCTCAGCTATGCTCAGCTAAGATGATTACAGTTAGCTAAACCAACCAAGATGGCTCTTGTACAAATTTGAACTGGATAAAAAGAAAAGATTGGCCAGCAGCAGTGAAAATAGTCCAGAAAAGGATACACACAGGTGCCTGCATGCGCATGCTTGCACATGAACACACACACACACACACACACATACACGTGTGTGTGTGCACAAAACCCACATTACATAGGTCCTGAAGGAGAACTAGAGACTGAAGCTGCTCCACAGAACTGCATCAGATCTTAAATAACTTTCTAGTTTAACTTCCTTCTTATCTTTATAACAAACTGCCTTATCCTTAAGAAAGTCTGTGTCTCTATCAGGAACGAGTAAATCTATAGTTTATATCAGAGCTTTACACATTGATCTTACTGGACACTTACCATTACAGAAAGCTTAAGATACCAAAATGTCATGTATATTCAGTTCTAAGATATCACTGAACATAAAAGGCACACATTGATTTTTAAGAAACAGCCTTTCCTGTGAAAAACTCTACCACTTGAATATACCCACACTGCATATGCATTCCAATTTCAGATACATAAAAATGTGGGGAAATGACATCTTAGAATCAATGAAAAAGAATAGAAATTGGGTACATTAACAACTGAAACTATACATAAAATATGACATGCCTTGAATAGTCCTTAAAAATTCACATAGTCTGTTTGTCATATTTTTTTAAAGTGCAAAATGTTATAAAAACAAAAGATCTGAACGTTCTACTACTTTGGAGTTTAGTTCATACAGTCAGTTTAGAGTAAGGTGACCAGACATCCCGCTTTTGGCGGGATAGTTCCGATTTTTAACAATTGGTCCCATGGCCCTCGGCGTTTTAAAAAAGTCCAAAAGATTTAAAAGAATCTTTCTTAAAATAGGGACTTTTTAAAAATGCCGCGGGACATCTGGTCACCTTACTCTAGAGTCGACTAAAGTTTCTCCCTATGACTCTGGAGGGGCTAAGGCTCCTCAGAACCCCCTCAAATACAGAAAGCACAACCGATCTTGCACTGGTGGAATGTTGGAGTTGGATTGAAGTGGTAACATGATGGGACAACAGCAAAATTTTTTTCTCACTTGCCCTATCACTTATATATATCTTTATTGTTAAAAGTATTAGAGATGTCTCTCTCCCCCTCCCCCTAATTGGTTCTTGGTTAATCTCTCCACCCCTCCTTCCCTCTAACATTCCAATCCCAACAATTATGCCGCCTCAAGTTCCATTCTGATGGCATGCGCCAGGGAGTACAAAGCCCAGAAGGCCTGCCTGACTTCTTTCTTTTGCATCAAAAAGGAGAAGCAATACTGGTAATGACAATGCAGAGTTACACAAGCTTGAACTCCTCAGCATCAGAAGAAAAATGGAAAGGTAAAGAGTTGATACTATGTGAGATTTCTTAGTCTGAAAATTCAGCTAAGGACATGTGATAGTTTTACTTGTCTACACTATAGTCTCACAGTGAGTCTTCCTAGTTGGTCTGCCTGTCCCTTTTGTAAAAGGTGATTTCTATTACTGGAGGGATTTCTCCTGGCTTCACACAGATATTCAGTTTCTCTTACAGGGAAACACCTGCAGATGTTTGCCTTTAGCAACTGCTAAGCCACTGACAATCTCAAATTTATCACTTACACTTACAAATAGTGGCTTCGTTTTGAGGTATTTCAGTATAAAAGTAAGATATGAATGATGGTTGCAGATGTTGAGAGCCACGTGGGAAATATAACAAAGCCTAAAGACCATGACTGGAATATAGACCTATAACTTAGAGCCTCAGCACTAATTGGAATTAGTCCTTAATAATGTAAAATTAAAAATTTTTGTGCTGAAACAAAATAAAGGGAACAAAACTCTAAGGGACAAGATTCACATTTTCACTATTTTCTTTTTCTTTTTCTTTTTTTAATCAAGGAAACATGTTTATTTTTATATGAGTTTCTAAAATCCCACCTTTTATCTTTTTTGACAGAAACAGACTGAGAATGCAGAATGGGAAAATTAATGTCCAAGGAGAAACCAAGCAATAATAAGCCCACACTGCTGAGTGACACGGCCACTCAGAACAGCTCTTTGTTCTAGTTGATCCTTGGGCAGAAGGGGGTATCTTGAAGGTCTTGGGAGAAGTAAATAGATAATAATTTTAGCAACATGGTTCTAAATGTTTACACAGACAGTAGATTGTCCCAGTGCATCGGGACCAGAGTGCCCATTGTGGTATCATCAGTCAACAGCAGAGTCCTTCGAGAGACAGCACATCATCCTGGCAGGGAGGGCGATTGGGAAGCAAGGGAGCATGCGCAGGGTGCGGCTTTGGTGGAGTGTTGGCCCAGAGTGGTGCTGGTCTGGGACCCGGTGGCTCCGACTGATGGGGAAGCTGGAAAGCTGGAAACATTAGTGTTGTTTTTCCTGAGCCAGAGCACACAAGCAGCCAAGAAACCACACTTCTCTCGTCTTTTTAGCCAAACCATGCTTTGGTTCATTTGGTCACTCCCATCTCCCAACTAGACACCCAGAATCCCTCTTCCACCTGCCACTCTGCAGAACATGCCCAGCTGCCTGGTTGTGGGAGAGGGAGAGTGCACACTGAGCTCTCCCAGCCTGGAAGAAGGTGGGAAAGCAGCTGAACCCCCTACAGGGGAGCAGAATTAACAGGGATCTCTGCCTCCATCAGAGAGGTGGAGGGCTGATAAAGAGTCATCATCCGTCATTACTGTTGAGGTCATTCATTTGGGGAACTCTTAATAAAAGCTGCAGAAACTTCAGATGTGGAATTGGGCTGAAAATTCCTACCTGTGTTGGTTTAAAGATTGAATGAGAAAATGAGGGAAGTTAGACTAATAGTACCTGGTATTTAATAAATGCTTGTTACCATTTCACCATTTTCTTTCTTTTTTTTTTTTTTAACTATTATCGTAAAGATATTGCTTAAAAGTATGAATTGAGCCAAAACTGGTTTGGCTCAGTGGACAGAGTGTTAGCCTGCGGACTGAAAGGACAAGGTTCAATTCCGGTCAAGGGCATGTATATTGGTTGTGGGCACATCCCCAGTGGGGAGTGTGCAGGAGGCAGCTAATCAATGTTTCTCTCTCATTGGTATCCAGGTCACATAGGATGCCCAAAAATAATATATATTTTTATTTATTTGTTTATTTATTTATTTATTTATTTATTTATTTATTTTTAATATATTTTATTGATTTTGTACAGAGAGGAAGGGAGAGAGATAGAGAGTTAGAAACATCGATGAGAGAGAGTCGTCGATCAGCTGCCTCTTGCACACACCCCCCTACTGGGGATATGCCCGCAACCAAGATACATGCCCTTGACCGGAATCGAACCCAGGACCCTTCAGTCCCCAAGCCGACGCTCTATTCATTGAGCCAAACCGGTCTTGGCTATATATTTTTATTGATTCCAGAGAGAAAGGGAGGAGAGAGAGATAGAAACATCAATGATGAGAGAGACTCATTGATCAGCTGCCTCCTGCATGCCCCACACAACACAAGGGATCAAGTCTGCAACCCAGGCATGTGCCCTGACCTGGAATTGAATAGTGATAGTTCATAGGTTGATGCTCAACTACTGATCCCCGCCATAAATTATAAGTTTTAAAAAGCATATTAATGTAAAAAAAAAGAAATTAATACAAGAAAACATGTTCAAAAATTATAAGGCAGTGGTATCATAAAAAAATAAAAGTAGATATTAGAAATATTTTTTCAGTGAGATTCCTATTAGAAATCTGTGGGGATCAAGGGTAGGTGCTGATAAAGATTAAATATCTAAAGGTACCAACTGCATCAGAAGCACTTGAAGTAAAGAGGACATATATTTGCATTCTGTATTAAATGTAGGTATGTTAAGGTTTTAGACCTTTTAATTCACATACACTTTTGGCTAACAGTAGCAGTAAGTATTATTATTATGTAGTCCCATATTGCCAAATGGCAGAACAGCTTTTTATTTTGTGGTTAATATTTTATCAATATAAATTTTCAACGAAGGAATGCAGAGAAGTTTCTTTAACAGGAAACAATTCTGTGGCTTACCCCATACACAAAAGAGAAAACCACAAGGCCAGATCAGCTCCTATGATCTCAGAATTCTATTACACAATGCAGCAATTTTCAACCTTTTTCATCTCATGGGACACATGAACTAATTACTAAAATTCTGGGACACACCAAAAAATATATTTTTTTGCCAATCAGACCAAAGGCCAAAAATAGATATAATTTTGATTGATTTACAAAAAAAAAAAAAAAAGAAAGAAAGAAAAGGAAAAGAAACGTATTCTTTTTGCTCCAAAACGACTTTTTTTTAAAAAAAAAAAAAATCATGTGCCTATACTTTTATATAAGGATTTCTGGTACCAAAAATTAACCAATCTGATGCAACCTTATTATGTGACATGACCAATAAGATGCAACTCTATTATATGACATATATTTCTGGTTCAAAACAGGGCATTCACACCGAAGCGTTATTGTGTTGGCTGTGATCATTTTTCCATTTCAGAATCTAAGGGAAAAGAGCTCAGTGCCCATGAATAAATAGTCAGGTATTGCATGTTTTATAAAATCTTGCAGCAAACCTGTTGAAAATTGCTGATATAAAGCGATAAAGCGCCCAACCTAGAGGAAGGTCATAAAAGGAAATGTTTTCTATAATCTTATTTTCAAACTATTTTAATAATCAAATAACAAAACTGAATTATTTAGTCTCTATTTTAGGGAATGTACACAATTATCCTACAGCTTAAAGATCATATAACCTCAGATACACGAAGCCGTATGTCATAAACAAAATAAATTGTATGAATGAACATATCTACATTTTGCCCATACAATCCCATGAGTATCACTGAGACTCTAAAACACTGGTGAATAAAGAAAACGTTTTCTAAAATTCAGGACAAATGTAATTGCTGGAATTGAGAGAGAAGAAAAGTAGGCTAGAAAAAAAAAGAGATGTTTTCCATTTTATAGATTTTTCTCTTGGGCATAATTAGAATAAAGTGACATTCGAGTGCAACCAATGAAGTTTCTATTTTTTTTTTCTCACAAAATTCAAAGACATCAGCAAAACCACCTATGTCAGTAATAAAAATAAAAAGCCTTTGACTTTTTAAATGTTATCATGCTGTCACAGTGGAATAAAATTAGCTTGAAAAATGATCTAAAGGCATACGCTGCAGTTCATTACATGTAGCAGCAACAGCAGCGGCTTCCCAGTGTTCATAAGGGCTGCTCAATTAAATCTACCTCAGTCAATAATGAGGATCCACAAATAAACCTGGGCAATTAAATCAATACTGCCAGGCAATTACATTCCAGAGTGGCACAAAACGGCACTCTATCAAACTACAGTATTAAGCAGTCTAACGCCATTTTCAACGGGATTTTCTTTACACTAACTGGCCAGAATAAGCATATACCCATATCATGTAGAATGTGTGTGTGTGTGTGTGTGTACATCTCCATGTGTGAGTCAAAAAACCCAGGCCTGGTGTCAATATAGCTTTTGTAAAATGTAATAAAGATTTATACATATGGATTTTTTATTTTTATGTTCATAAATGATGATAAAAATTTCCATATTGAAGGGTCATTTTTACAAGTTGAGCATTAAAAATCATTAAAACGTTTATTTTTATTATTTTCAGCTGAAAAAAAAAAAACCAGCAGGCCATAAGAATCATTACTAAACTCCTTTGATCTGCCAGGCACTGGGCTGGGTGCTGGTGCCGGGCATGTGATATGATTAACAAATCATATCTCTTCTCAATAGCAAGAGACACAGTAGAAAGCTATGTTGAGTGCCTGCACGCCTGCACTTAAAAATAACTTTAAGGAAAGATTGCCAATCACCTCCTGTTACTATTGAGTATGGTTTCAAAATATATAAAACTGATACTAAAAATATAAATAGTTCATATATCCTTTACTTACTCGTGGCTTTTTCTAAAGCATGGACAACTCCCTTTGTTAATATAAATGTAAAATAAGTTTTATTTAATAGCCTTTATTTTTAATCTTCATACAGAAACATTTACGACTTTCTAAAACTCACAGGACAATAATTTTTTTTTTTCTATTTTGAGAAATATGTCTTAGCTGTTTTTTTTATTCCAGTTGGTTTTTAAAATAAACAATTAGGTTGAACAACAACAAAAAAACTGTAATGAAAAAGTTTTAGAATACATGACATGCTGTCAGTGATGTGGAAACAAAAGCTGGCTCTGACTAGAAAAGCAAGGCTCTCACCTGCCAATAAACTGCCCTTGATCACTTACAAGAGGGGCACCTCCCAGCAGACTCTATGTGTATTAAAAAATACTTGAAAGGCAAGAAAAAGTATCACACAGGTCACAGCAGCAGTCTCAATAGACCCCTCCGGGACTTCCACTCGCCTTGGCCTTGTCATCGTCTATGCAGCTTTCCACTCGGCCCAGAAAATGTCGATAGGAAAATGTTTGAGGGGCCTCTGGTGGAAATTTTTTCATTCTTTCTGCATTGACAGGATGCCAAATCAATATTTACTTCCCACTAACAAGCTGCTCGAGGTCTCAGTAGAAAATATTGTAGGGAATGCAGGAAGACACAGTAATAAACAGCTGTCTGGCTGTGAGGAAAACATGAATTGACTGGAAGCAGGTCCATAGTAAAAGGTCACTGAAACCCATGAACTCCTCGGGTGTCCATATCAACTACTAACTTTAAAGACACATAATAAAAAATCTCTTTTCCTAAGAGGGATGAGAGAATGGATCCTTTTCAGTCTATCAAGCATAGAGGTTGACTCAATAATTTAATTAATGCATTTGCTAAGACCCACGTTGGCTGTTTCCCAAGGCATCTGCTTCATTTGATAAGTCCAGGAGTACAAACAGAGTTAACTTTTGGTCTACCTATTGGAATACTTCTATACCTAACAGAAGCAAATAATGCATAAGCAAAAAGTTAGGCCCTTGGTAAATATATAAGGCTTGGATTTCTTATCTAGTCTTCATATATGAAGTAGAAAATGAAATACCTGTCCTTCAAGAAGTTTCTGGATATACAACAGCCACTCCCTGTCATTTTCAGCATCTATCGTTGTCCTTTTGAGTTCCTAGAGGAGGAAAGTAAAAACACTGGTGTTAACTGTATGTAAATGAAGTTGCTCATACTATTAAATATTGAATAAATCTAGAAAGAATCAATAAAACTGAATTCACTTGCAAAAGTGGAGAATATTCAAATTCATTCTCTTTAATATTTCATTTCTAAATATTTACATACATATGGAAGATAAAGCTGTAATTCTATATTCACCATATAATTCAGGGATATTATTTTTTTCTGTTTTCATAGTGGAGCTCAAGGTAGGAACAGAGGTAGAGGTGAAAGCAATTAAAATAAGATGAAAAATAAGATGCAGCTATATAAAAAGAATCAATTATTTACAAGTTACCCTCATAAGATAACATTAAAAAATCTGACTTGTCAATAGATAACTAAACAGTAATTGCTACAGTTACAATCAAAATATGGTATGGCTCTGATGTATGCTTGTTTATTTAAAATATCCAATAATAGCCGAAACCTGTTTGGCTCAGTGGTAGAGCGTCAGTCTGCAGACTGAAAGGTCCCAGGTTCGATTCCAGTCAAGGGCATGTACATTGGTTGCAGGCACATCCCTGGTAGGGGGTGTGCAAGAGGCAGCTGGTCAATGTTTCTCTCTCATCGACGTTTCTGGTTCTCTATCTCTCTCCATTTCTCTCTGTAAAAAATCAATAAAATATTTTAAAAAATATATATATATATAATATCCAATAATAACTGATAGGCAAGGAACAGACACTCCAACTTTGTATTGCAAGTCACTAAGTATTTTAATCCATTAATTATCAAGTTAAATATTCCAAAAAGTAAAATATATTCACATGTGCAGCTGATTATTTCCTAAACTCATAATTTGTTTTTAAAAAATGGACTTTTCACAAAGGGAAGGGATTTGGAAGCTAGCATTTGTTGAAATTTACTGTATGCCAGGTATCAGGCTAGACACTTCACAATTTTTTACATGAATTTACTAGGGTTTGATGGATAGCTTAAGGAATATGTTAGGTGGTTTGAACTCTGCTTGGTTAGATAAGTCAGTCAATCCTTCTGACCTCTGAAAGATGCAGGGGTCAGTCTAAACCGGCTTTGATCTATAGTTATATCTAGTAAATACATTGAGGTGTGCAGGTCCTTCTCAGAACAGTGTGTTTTCACTAGAGTCCTCTTACTTCCTCCTGCAGGACTTCCACCCAAGCTGTGTGAGATGCACAGTGCAGTGCTGTGTCCTCTGGCTCCAGACTGCATGTGCCCAGAGGCAGAGGAGCCACCTCTTCACAGGAGGGTATCATTGATTCTTTGGGACTCTAATCTGATCCTCTTTTATTTGTCCAACCAGAAGGGATGCTTTTTTCTAATTTGTAAGCTCAGAGATGGCATTTTTTTTTTTTTTTGAGATGAGACCACACAAAGGCAGAGGACAGAAGGGGGGTGAGGGATCCCATCTTCCAAAATATATAACTGTGTTCACACATGCACACATAAACACACTAGGGATTTTGCTAAATCTGCTTGTTTCAAAACTCTTAGGCAAGAGTGGAGGCCTTAAACTTAATTTTCGTTAGGTTTCTCACTATGAATCAACAAATTTTTTTATTAAGTCTATAATAAGATATATTTCACACCCTTGCTAGAGATATTATTTCCTGGATGTCTTACATTTGATATTATCTCTTATAATGCTCTATACTTCAAAGTTCAATATTCTGTAGAAAGGTATGGAGAGTGTGGATTAGATGATGAAAAGAGGAAAGTGATAATTCACTCTCTTACCCAGAGGATGAAAATAATCTCTGTAGGATTCCTCGGACCTCTTTTCTAAGAATTATTGGCAGACGAATTTCAGAGGGAAGGGGGCAAGGGCGGGAGGAGAGTAACCAAAGAACTTACATGCATTTATGCATAACCTATGGAAAGATAATGGTTTGGGAGGGGGCAGGAGTTGGGTGGAGGGAGTCAATGGGAGGTTAAAGGGGGACATCTCTATTACCTTCAACAATAAAGATAAATTTTAAAAAGATAGCCAAAACCGGTTTGGCTCAGTGGTAGAGCGTCAGTCTGCAGACTGAAAGGTCCCAGGTTCGATTCCGGTCAAGGGCATGTACATTGGTTGCGGGCACATCCCCGGTAGGGGGTGTGCAAGAGGCAGCTGGTCGATGTTTCTCTCTCATCGACGTTTCTAGCTCTCTATCCCTCTCTCCTCCACTCTGTAAAAAATCAATAAAATATATATTTTTAAAAATTTTAAAAGATAATATGTAAAGCAAATTAACAAATAAAATAACTGGCCAGCAAAAAAAAAAAAAAAAAAAAAAAAAAAAAAAAAAAAAAAAAAAAAAAAAAGAAAGAAAGAAAGAAAATTAACAGAATACTTGGCACAGATGGCTATTCACTAAATATTAGCTGAACTAAATTGAGGAGCCCTATCATAATGGGTGGAATGCCACAGAAATGTGTTCATGTTTTATTTAAATTATCTCAAACTTTAAACAAACCTTTTTGAATATTTAGTAAGAAAAACAAAAACAAAACTCCAAACAAACAAAAAACCCTTTGCAAGTTGCAGCTCTTCTCTACTCTAGAAGTCCTTTGAGAAGCTGATGGAGGATTAGAGGATGTTCTCACATAAATATTTTAGTCTAACTTCTTCTTTGTTCACGGAGCAAATATTTATTGGGAAATTGCTGGTGTTATCATCTCTTTAATCTTTCCAAACAATGAAAAAAGTGAATATTAATGTATTAAATTTCAGAGACTTAACAGTGAAATGGATTGAGAATTCTCCAAGGTTTCACAGATCATATACAGCAGGGTGGGAACCTTTTTCCTGCAAGGGCCATGTGAATATTTATAGCATCATTAGTGGGCCATACAAAATTATCAAGTTAAAAATTAGCCTGCTATATTTAGTCCAATTTAATGAACTCATCCCTAATGCCTTGGCACTGCCAGACCAAAGGATTTCTCAGGTCTTACAGGGCCCATGGGCCAGAAGCTCCCCACCTTTGGTGTACAGGACAGGATTCTGCTGCTTATGAGGTAACAATTATGTCAAAAGTGCAGTGCCTTTCCCAGGAGGTACTGAAGACCTATACTTATATGCACATAAATTCACTTGGACAGAAATACATAATTTATAGGAGTAAATACATATTTAACTTCATCAACAAAAAGTTATCTAAGAAATCCACTAGGTTTATTACTTTTTCAAATCTCACACAGGTGAGCCCTAGCTGGTTTGGTTCAATATATAGAGCATCAACCTGCAGGCTGAAAGGGCCTAGGTTCAATTCTGGCCAAGCACACATGTCTGGGTTGTGGGCACATCCCCAGTAGGGGGCGTGAGGAAGGCGGCTAATCAATTATTCTCTCTCATTATTGATGTTTCTATCTCTCTCTCCCTCTCCCTTCCTCTCTAAAATCTATATATATATATATATATATATATCTCACGCAGGAGGAAGGAATCCCCAAATCTATGGTGACCCAGCTACACTAAATCCATTCAAATTGGCTTACTGGTAACTAAAAATATTAGCTTACAAAAAATATGATTAATTAAGTTAAAGAAAACAGATAGGAAAGGATAATTGACTTAAATAACAAACAAGCAATTCTAGAGGTTATATGTATTTGCTTTTTCCCATATTACAATTAAATTTCTCTAAAGGTTTTTGAGTTGGTCAATACTGTAGGATTAATGTATCTTTCATCATGTATCTTGATGTATCTTTCATTGGTGTATTAATAATCATACCTTATAATTATTATCTTAAAGATAAATTCTAAGAATTTGGAAATAAAACTATGTACTTAAATTCAATGTGCAAAGTCCCTTTGTTAATAAACTAGAGGCCTGATGCACAAAATTTGTGCAAGGGGCTTAGCCCTCGCAGCCCCGGCTTCGTCTGGAAGGTCATTCGGCCGTCCAGTCTAATTAACATATTACTCTTTTATTATTATAGATGTTTAAATGATCTTACCACTTCATCTTCTGTGTCCAATATTTCCTCTAGATCTGATCGTGAAATGTTGAGGATAGAAGCTGCCAAGGTCTGGGCTTTATGAGTTGAGGTTTTATGAGCATCCTTCTTTCTCTGCATTCTTTTAAGCTCTCTGATTTGTCGCCTTATTGTATGGACATCAACTTGTAACTCTTTGACCAAAGCCTGTAACATATTGGAAAGAATGCAGGCTCATATGGAAGTAATAAATGCAGATAGAGCTTTCATAACATAAAAATGTGAAGATACTAGCAAACCTTTTTTTTTTTTTATTAGGATCACTCTGATTTTATTTATTTTGGAACATAATGGATTGTTATTTATTGTCGGTATGCAGTAAAAGCTCTCTTAAATGACTATTTAACCAACTTGCTGGGTTAACCCAAGCTCCCCAACCCCTCTTTCAGATTCACCAACTGCTCTCCTGGCTGGTGAACATTCGCAGCAGACAGGCCACTCTCCCTGATGCCAGAGCATCACTGCTCCCAAAGGAACCTTATTTCTGAACATGGGTATACTAGTGATAACAGTTTAGTTACATAATTCATTTCATTATTACACAACCTGATGAATCATGACTGCAGAAAGAGAGTTGTTTCTATTTTATTAAAACTGGGTTAGAAATGCTTTGGAAGAACGTGATAAAGATAAGTTGGGTAAAAATGCAATTAAATTATGTATGGGCAAAACAATACAGGATTTAAAAAGTCATAAAAATCTTAGGATTGCTTCACAAGAGTCTTTAAGTCCTCCTTTTGAGAAATAAATGCTATCTCATGCCATGCCTATGTGTGCATAAGGAAAAGGCAGCCCTTAACCTGAGTGGACAGAGAGACCTGCCTAGCTTTGTGAGTTGAGAGCAGACTAGCTAAAAGTTTGGGATGTTTTCAATTTTTTTGCAAGTTCAAGCAATACTGCAATAAATAATGGTGCTCATATATACATTTTTTTTTAGTGATTTATAAAAATATCTTTCTATATTAGGGATATTATACATATTTTATATATATATATATATATATCTGTTGTATATCTCTACATTTTTTATACTTTGCATTTTTCTTTTGACAGTAATTATAATGTCTTATGCCAAAGGGAAAAAAATATATTTTTACTGGTTTCCAAGAGAAAGGAAGAGGGAAAGAGAAATATCAATGATGAGAATCATTGATCAGCTATCTCCTGCACTCCCCACATTGGGGATCGATCTTTCAACCTGAGCATGTGCCCTGACTGGGAATCCCACCATGATATTCTGGTTCATAGATCAAGGTTCAATCACTGAGCCAAGCTGGCCAGACAAAGAAAAAATATTTTTTGATTTTTTTATGTGCTCAATGAACCTTATTCCTTTCCTATCTTTTAAATTAGTGATATACTTTAAAAAGCATTATCCATGAAATATAAACACATTTTCTAGCCATGCTTTTTTCTGCTACCTTTAAGATTTTATTTTTCAGTTTTAATATTTTTATCTATTAATAAACATTTACAAAATCTTACCTGAAAAAGTAACATGCAAATTAACCATCACTCTGCTACACCCACCAGCCACTCGCACCAGCCAATCAGAGCAAGTATGCAAATAAACCCAATCAAGATGGCTACAGCCACAGAGAGCAGGAGGGAGGCTTGGGTTTCCCAGGAAATGAAAGAAGCCAAGCTTTCTGCCTGCCCTGCCCTCCACTAAAGGCTACAAAATTTCAATTATAGAAGAAAAACAAATTCCAACAGAAATGGAGGTAGCCACGGAGCAAGCAGAAGGCTTGGCTTTGCTCCAGGCTACAAAGTTTAAAATGTAGAAAGTAAATAAATTCCAGATATCAGGGCCTCCTTTGGGTTGCCAGTGAGCATGGCTGACCTGCAAACCACCACAGGTCCCTCACTCAGGCTGCCCCATGCCCCAAAGGAACCCCCACCCTGATCTGGGACACCCTTCAGGGCAAACCAGCTAACCCCCACCTATGCACCAGGCCTCTATCCTATCTAATAAAGGAGTAATATGCAGATTGACCATCACTCCAATACACAAGATCAAGATAGCTGCCCCCATGTAGTCAAAGATCCTGATCCCAAGTGGATACAAGATGGCCACCACAAGATGGCCAGCAGGGGAGGGCAGTTGGGAGGAACCAGGCCTGCAAGTGAGGGCAGTTGGAGGCGATCAACCATGCAGGGGAGGGCAGTTAGGGATGGCCAGACTGGCAGAGGAGGGAAGTTGGGGGCAAACAGGCTGGCAGGGTTCAATTAGACATCAATCAGTTGGCATAGGAGTGGTTAGGGGCAATCAAAAAGGCAGGCAGGCAGGCAAGCTGTTGGGAGTCAGCAGTCCTGGATTGAGAGAGAGATGTTTGACTGCCCACCAGGATCGGGCCTAGATGGGCAGTTGGACATCCCTCGAGGGGTTCCAGATTGGAGAGGGTGCAGGCTGGGCTGAGGGACACACACCCCCAACCCCATGCACAAATTTCGTGCACTGGGCCTCTAGTTATTATATAAACTCAAACTCAGTAATCCCACCACCAGCTAGTAAAAGGTTCACTCTTCCCTAACTGATCTCATGTATGTCTAGGCCAGTTTCTGGACTTCTGATTCCATTCTATCTCTCCTTTTATTAGTGAAGCTTTATAATATATTTCTATTAGTGAGGTTTTATAATTAACCAGAGGCTGGGTGCAATAAATTTGTGCACTGTAGGGGGGGGGGGGGAGGCTGTCCCTCAGCCCAACTTGCATCCTTCCAATCTGGGCCCCCTCAGGGATGTCCAACTGCCAGTTTAGATCCCATCCCAGGATTAGACTTAAACTGGCAGTAGTTCATCCTTCTCACAATCCAGGACTGCTGGCTTCCAACCGCTTACCTGCCTGCCTAATTGCCCCTAACCACTTCTGTCTGCTAGTTTGATCATCCCCTAACCACTCCCCTGCCAGCCTAATTAACGCTTAACTGCTCCCCTGCTGGCCCAATTGCCCCCAACTGCCATCCTCTGCTGGCCCGATCACCCCCAAGTGTCCTCCCCTGCCAGCCTGGTTGCCCCCAACTCCCCCCCCCCCTGCTGGCCCAGTCGCCCCAACTGTCCCCCCCCCGCCAGCCCGGTCACCCTGAAATTCCCACCCCTGCTGGCCTGGTTGCCCCCCAATTGCCCTCCCCTGACAGCCCAGTCACCCCCAAACTTCGTCCCCACCCCCCACCCAGTCCCCTCCATTGCCCTCCCCTGTCGACCTGGACACTGCTAACTGCCCTCTCCTGCCGGCCTGGTCGCCCCCAACTGCCCTCCTTTACAGGCCCAGTAGCCCCCAACTTCCCTCCCCTGGTGGCCTGATTGCCCACGACTGTCCTGCTGGCTATCTTGTGACCACATGGGGTTGGCCATCTTGTGTGAGGATGTGACAGTCAATTTGCATATTACCTCTTTATTATATAGTATATTAACATCTGGTGGGGCTATCAACCTCATATTACCCTCCTTTTAAAGATTATTTTCTTGGTAAGTTTTGCATGTTTGGTTTTCCACATGAAATTTGGTTCAGCTTGTCTATGTTATATCCTCCTAAAAATTATTATTGGTAATGTTACTTGAATCATGTTAAATTTTATTTGGATCATGTTAACATATTAGGATATTCATTCTTCTAATGAAAGACCATGGTATTCTCTTCCAGTTCTTTATATTTTTGTTTCTGAGGATAATTTTTAGTTTTTCTCTTTCTAGTTCTAATTTATTCCTTAGGAGTTTTACTTTTTGGGGAGGTGCTACTAATCATGTTTACTGTTGTAGATATAAAGACTGTTAATATATATTTGGCTTACTGAATATAAATTTCTGGAAGCTGAGCAATATCAGCAAAAATTGATAATATTCTCTCATATCCAAAGTTTATACCTTATATTCCTTACTTTTCTTATTGTATCACTTAAGTTCTTCACGAATAATATTAAATAGTAATATTATTGGTCATATTTTACTTATTTTTGACTTTTATTAAATCTGTCTACTTTCTAGAAAATGCTTTTGAGATGAGAGCCTTATTTTAATATATGAAGAAATGTATTTTAATATATTAATATATATACAATATAGCTTAATATAGTTACCTACTCATTTTACTTTTATTTCTTATAAAAATTGAATATCAAGTTGTCTTAAATCCATTTTAACATCCATATAAACATGAGTTTTTCATCATAAATCTATTAACATGATTACTAGTAATTATCTTAGTATTGAATTATCCTTTCATTTCTGGAATAAACTCTACTTGCTGTAATAGATTATCTTTTATTGTGCTGAATTCTATTTGCTAATATTTTATCTACGGTAGTATTTCTACACTAACATGAGATTTATTGGTTTTAATTTTGTGTAATCTTCAAAAAATTTAGAAGGCTCTTTCTCTTTCCATGCTCTGTAGTAGTTTTAATGAGACTGAATTTATCTGCTCTTTATTGATGGGGTAGCAATTATCTGAACTTGGCTCAATATCTATCACACATTTAAGTATTTAGTTTTACAAGCTTTGACAGTTGTCTACATCTATGTAGCCACCACCCTAGGCAAGATACAGAACATCTTCACACTCTAGAAATTTCCCCGGTACCCTTTCCCAGGCAGTTCCTCCCACACAGAGACATCAACTGTTCTGATTTATATCATCTTATTTTAATTGTGCTTGTTCTAGATGACATATAAATGGAATTATATTCTACATACTCTTTTATGTCTGACTGCTTTTTTCCCCCTGATGTTTTAGAGATTCATTCATATTGTTTTGTGGATCTGTAATTTGTTTTTCTTTTAATTAAATACAATAATTTCAACATATTTATATACATACTAGAGGCCCAACTGATGAAATTCATGCTCAGGGAGGATCCCTAGGCCTGACCTGCATCCAGGCTAATCATTCCCAGCTGCAGGGAGCCTGCCCAGCCCCCTGCTGCACCACCATCTGTCTACCGGGGCTGTTGGGGCCCCAGCACCACCCACGTCTGCTGCCACCCACCCACAGTTCCCGGTTCCCCATTGGGTGATTGGAGCCTGCTGGCCAGGGGGAGGAACCAAGAGGTTAGCCATTCCTGCCCACTCACTGGCCTTACCCTCTTCTGCTACAGGTTGTACTGTGTGTGTGTGGGGGCGGTTACTGGCGGGGAGATCGGGGCCCTGG